GGAATGATTCCGGAATCATTGCAACTCCGGAGTGGCAACTCCGCTACACTGCCTTCAGTGGAGATCGGTTCCGCAATATTTCGAAAGATGGAAACACTGTGAAGCCAGATCACGTATAATGACGACGTGCCGTGGATCAAGGTTGAAGTGTAGGCCAGCACACGTTTGAATGATATCTGACAGCATAGCTCTTCAGTGCACATATATGTGATCAAACGAGCACACATATATATATTGCCACGTGCATGGCCGAGATGGAACGCCTTTTGCCTGTTCCCCGCACCTCCACCAGACATGTCGCGGATGGCTGGAGCGAGAGTGAATGTGGCTTGCCATTGGGGGAATCTGATTGAGTCAGCAAAGCCCACGCTAGACTCCTTATCTACTACACTAGGCATCTTGAACATTCGATATAGAACGTTCAAGGCTCACTAGGCAAAGTTATTCTGGCCTCCTTGTCTTTTGCATTCGGGGTAAGACTAAACGCGAACATTCTAGATGTAAGGAGAACCGTTCCATCCCGGACGTGCGCGCGGCAACATAACTTGACGGTCTTCAGCGGCGACAGAGGCGTAGCTATAGTCGCCTGCCTTAGAGATTGTTGACTCTGGTTCATTTTGCATTGTGTTCTCAGTGGTGCCTGTGATTTCTTCTTTTTGGGGATTCAAGGCTGACTTTGCTTCGCGGAAACCCCCAAAATTCTTCTTAGGATAGATAATATTGTTCGGCTCTTTAATTCATTTTTACAGAAACGTGATATGGCTTGCTGCTTTCAACTGCATTTGGCGCATTTCACTGTCATGAAAGGACATACATCTGTCCCGTCATGGTGTTTGTTGCCCCCAACGGCGACAGGCACTCAGACATTAGCAGGCGACTTTCTTGTGGCGAAATTCATTACAATTGCGACATTGTAATGGTCTGTTTGTGAACGGTGAGACTGGATGACGAACGTGCCCTAGACGCGAAGCCCGTAGCCTCGCAGTTTAGCACTAGTGAAGGCGATCACCAAGTCGCGAGAGTGTCGAGGTCTCCGAACGCGGGCAATCTTGCAGCATGTCTTCAGCGTGGAGATATCGTGCAATCTCGACTTGGGCCATTTCAGCGTCGACACCTTACATGAAACCATATGTACTGAGGCCTGACAGTGGTCAGTAGGCTCTGACTGGAACAGCGCAGAGCACTGCAGTACTCTGCAGAGTTTTCACGGTCTGCCATTTGCGAACATAAACAGCGATTCAGGTTCAGTCGGTCGTTGGGGCGCACTTGGATGATGCACTCTTGGTAGAGCTTTTCAAGGGTGCCGGAAAATTTCAGACAGTTGAGCGCTGTAAGCCTGGTCTCCTCTTTTCCAGGAATGAAGATGACGGTGAGGCTAGTGTTATCTTGCTTCTTTGGTAGCTGCGGAACATTTGAAGGCGAGTCGCTATTTTTTGTACGAGTACGTTTCCTGCCGGATCTGCTTCATTGGCCTCCTGAATCTTCGCTCTCCATGTTGGCGAGGTGGCAATGCTACTCGCGCCGGATTGGCTCTTCTTCGAGGACGACGCTGCGCTGTCACACACAGCAACGGGCTGTTGCTTCGCCGGCCGGCAGAGGGCGCGTTGCGTGTGTATCACTTAAGGTCTCTATAAACTGAAAAGTAACGCAAACCATTGTTTGAAATAGAAAAGAGAAATTCCCTCGTCGCCTATGTCCTTTCCCTCTGAAAATGTATCTTTCCCCTCGCTTCAACTTGATAGGGCGCGACACGTGACCGTTACCTTCCTATGATACTGTGCGATTCGGTCGTCCGCTCTGAACTAGCGCCATTTTCCTGCGACGTATGGCGTTGGCTCTGTTGCTTACGGGACGGCTGTACGTTTTTTCCTTTTTTTTTATGTACCACGATTTCGGCGGCAACGCGATGCCATCTTGCTGCGCTCTGGGTTGTACTAGCAGCGTCGCGAAACGAAATAAGCTTTTTATCGTCCCGACGGGAAAAGAAAATCTTTCAGTGATGAAGGAAATGACTCCACTGGATCGGTCGGAAAAGTTTCGATCTCATTAAAACTTGGGTTTTGGCTTGTTGGTCTATTACTGATTAAGAGGTTTAAAAGCGCGAACAAACCGGCACAATGAAGAAACATGAACGACAGGACAGGCGCTTCACTCTCAACTGGTTTTATTATAACCATCGTCTCCTATATGTATAAACATTGACCAAACCATATCGCACCCAATCGCCACGATCAAAGGATTCAATCTGAAGCAGGTACACAGACGGAGCGCTGACGCATTGCTTTCCCTCTTATTTTTATATATAGAATGCCTATATAATCTCTCTTTCCGTTTTGTCTTTTGCCTTTCTTAAAAAAAAGAATCTTGTAGGAATCACGTCAGGCTTACACCCACATTGCCTACTATGGTCAGCAAGATGGCCCCGCGTTGTTGCGCACACACAGATTATGCTCTCGTGCCCCACCATTGAAGCAGCGCCCGGTCCACCCAATGTAGATTCCGCCACAACTAAACCGAATCTCGTACACCACGTTGATGATGCACGCAGTATATTGCACCGCCTGTTTCTTTGAACACGGTGATTTTTTTCTGTCTTGTCAGCATCGGACAGATCCTAACAAGTTTAAGCGGTACCGAAAAGACCAGGTTAATGTCGTATCTTCCAGCTACTCTTTCTAGAATATGTGACACGGTGTGCATGTACGGAATGACTGGTATTCATTCCCTTTCTTTAGTTGCCTCGCTGCCTTTTTTTTTTCTTTCTTTTAACTTTTAAAGCAAGCTCTCGCAATAGCTAGAGATTAGGTTAGGGGGCTCTCCCGCGTCTCTTAACCTTTTTGCTTCTCGTTCAAAACTGATTTTTATCTGATGACTGAAACTTTTTTCCGGAGCCACTCTTAGACATGTAAAGGCTATTTCCCTCTTTACAAGATTAGAGTGGGCACTTCCGAAGAAATCCAGGCTTTTTTTAGTACACGGACAATACTGCCAACAGGCATGTTCGCCAGAAAAAAGGATCAACATGTCTAAAACTGAATGCAGTTATACAAAGGCAATTCCCGGGTAAGATTAAGTCAGCCTGACAAGTCCTTAAACTCCTCGACGATCTTCTCAACCGCTTTCTCCCAAACCCGAGTTTCTATCTAAAATTAAAAGATAGTCGTCTACACATCTATACATCGGACATATCCTAGCAAGTTTACACGGTGCTGAAAAGACCACATGAGTATTTATCTGCCAGCTACTTTTAGTTTTAGATTATGAGATACGATATGCATTTACGAAATGACTTGTACTCGTTCCCTTTCTTTAGTTGCATTGCTCCCTTTTTCTTCTTTTTTTTTCTCTTTACCACATTAAAATCTGCAACCCTATATGAAATTTGCCGGTCCAGTGGTGCTAAGACAGTGTTGCACGGAACAGGGGCAACTGTCAAAGCAGTACACACACCAGACGTCTGTACGAAACATCGCTCGTCAAAACTGACGGCAGTCCACTGTAGCCAAAACACTAGCAGCTCCAAAAAAATTGTAAAAAAAGAAGAAAAAAGGCAGCAAGGCAACTAAAGAAAGGGAGCAAGTGCAAGTCATTCCGTAAACACATACCGTATCTCATAGTCTAAAAAAAAGGTAGCTGGCAGATGCGATATTAATGTAGTCTTTTCAGCCCCGTGTAAACTTGCTAGGATATGTCCGATGTTGACAAGGCAGAAAAAAATTGCCGCGTTCCAAGAGACACGTGGTTCAATATACTGCATGCGTCACCAACGTGGTATACGAGATTCCGTTTAGTTGTGGCAGAGTCAACGTTGGGCAGACTGGGCGCTGCTCCAATGAGAGCACGAGAGCACAATCTGTGTGGGCGAAACAATGCGGGGGGCCTTCTTGAAGACCATTGTAGGCGATGTAGATATAAACCTGACCTGATTTTCACTAAATTTTTGAGAAAGGCAAAAAACAGAACGTAAAGAGAGATTATATAGGCATTCTATACAGAAAAAAGGAAAGCTTTTGCGTCAGTTCTCCGTCTGTATTTCTGCTTCAGAGTGAATTGGCGTTTTCTGAATGGTTGCCTTTGATTGTGGCGATTCAGTGCGATGGGGTTTGGGCAATGTGTATATATATAGGTGACGATGGTTATAATATGAACCAGTTGAGAGGGAAGTGCCTGTTCTGTCGTCCGTGTTTCTACATTGTCCCCGTTTGTTCGCGCTTTTTAACCTTTTATTCATTTTCGATATCCTCCTAGGGAGATGAGTGTATTTGATGGGTAGTTAAATGCACCAGGTGCGTAAATAGCAGACATCGCGTATTGTCGCGTACGAATGTCTGAGCCAGCAGCTTGTTTCACTTCTACACCGCTCACTGGGGTTTGATCCCCGCCAGCGCTTGTCCATTTTATATGTATCCTATTTGCATGACTGGAATATTTCAGATGACCCAAGAATCTGGGGTCATCTGGATGATTGGGAAAGCAAGTAGGCATGCAAACAGGTTAAGGATAAACATAGTAACCCGAAGAGGTCTTTTATGACCAGAATATTTAATTTCTCTTTTTGTTAAATTCTACGCCGGCTAGATGTTTTTTACAATGACAAATATTGAATGCAGTGGTATTGGGGGGGGGGTCCATTTTGAACAATCACCATAAATCACGTTTTCAGATACAGTTTTCATTAATTGGTTAAAAGAAAATTGTACCTCTAAGTACTTGTTTACGAAACTGCATATCAACTGCATATCAACTGCATATCAACTGCATATCGCTAGTTTCGCAACCAGAGGCTAATGAAGAAAAGTGTAGCTAGTCTATTTAAATTACGGTGGCCTTCATGTGAAAACCACGATGTACTCGGTTAACGTTTGTAAAAACCTCTAAAACTATTTTCTTCATTCAAAAATAATCGGAACATAATTTTGTATATAATGTTTCCTCAAACATAGTCCTACCAGGTATGTGCTAGGATAGAAGATAATTAAGCAACAACGAAGCAAACTTACGTGAGGCTTCCAGAACTGCCGTCGTGAATGCCAAAATGAATATGAACAGCAGCTCGTGTGACATCTTGCAATTAGAAATGTGCTCTAACTTACTAGAAGTTCGGAAATTTATACGAATATTTGGTCTTAACCAGACCTTTTATATTTTGTCTTAGCACCACCTTTTATATTTTGTTTTAACCATTCCATTCTTTGTCTAAATCCAACACAGGCAATGAAACACAAAAAATCTAGCACCATTATGTGTTAAAAAGCATTTTAAATATCAGACTGACCATTTTAATGTTCTCAATTTTAGATGCCACTACGCATTTTAAACTGTATAAACTGTCACGTAGTCATGTCCTACTTGCATTCAGATACAAGGAACTTACCTAAATACCAACCTAAGTCTTTGATGGACAGCTGTGCAGAAAAAGAGTTCCATTGGCCAATTTGGAGAATTTCCGACAGAACAATGAAAATGTCACTTGTGTTGCTATTCTTTAAATTTTAAGCCAAATCTCAGTTGTGTATAAGTTCAGCTAATCTTGGGCTTTCCATGGTCTAAAATGAGTTCTATATTATTGTTTGTTCCTCATTTACTTATAATAATTTCACCACCAATAAAACGTCTAGCTTCTGTTCTAAATGATTCACCCAACTATTATGATGTGCAATGGAAACTGCGAAATTATGGTAGAGAGCAATATTACTACTACGTGGAGAAAAAAACAATAATAGAAGCACTTTTTACTGTCATCCTCATGGGAGACAGAGGGGTGCTTCGTGAATTTATGAGCAAAATGTACATACTGCTCACTCACGTATTTTTTCCCTTACGAATGTGGTGCATCTGTGGCTGGAAAAGTCCTTGCAACCCTTAATTGTTTTCATTCTGTATCCCCGATGCAATTTGTTTTTTTCGTTGCCAAATATCACAAGACGGGTTTTGATAGTTTCGTTGAAAAAGGGCAAAGGCAAACCTTTCAGAGACAGAATACGCAAACTTTGGGGACCAAACTTTTCAGTTTGAGGCATTTTGCGTTTAAAAAATTTGCGTTCCTCGCAAGAGGTTATACGAGTACATATCATTGACTGCTCTTGGTATATCCATTGAGACGAAATACATTATATGGTCCAAACATCGAAACCATCCTTAAAGCAGCGACGTATTTATTTGCACAATGTCAAGCTCTTGTCAGGTCATTTGGCATTGAAAATTAGCGTTCTTCCGTAGGCTTGAAACACCATATCACACCTTTTTGAATATATACAACACCAGATTGCAGTAAACGATCCCAGTGTATCGTAGCGCAAACCCTAAGGCATTTATTTTATTTTCGAAAATCATTGCCTGGGAAACTTTGTCCAGCCCGTCCGGGCAAATAGCAATGTACACCGAGAAACGGAGGGATAGAAGTAGACGACTGCGCGCTGGAACGTCAGGTTGGCATGTTTAGTGGGTAGACCTTTGTCTCTACTGTCTCCACATTCTCCACTGCGCTCGTCAAACCCTTTGTTTCCCCGCGCTCGTCGAACGCGTTCGAATGCGAGAGCCAAACATCAGATGCCGGCGTTCCGCGTTCTAACGCGTTGGACGATTACAGTGGAGACAAAAGCAGCTAGCCTTAGGTCAACCCACTAATCATTCCAACTCAAAGCTCGGCTTTCTTACGTCCCCGCGTGAATGTCGTCTCCTCGTCTCCCCCGGATTCTCGGCGCATATGTTAGGTGGTCTTTGTTAGAACTTTTTGTTTTATCCTGTAATACCTAGAGCGCTCGTCGTCATCACAGCGTGTCCATTGGATGCCATAGAACAAGGCCGTAGTGCTAGGGGTTCTACGTCACCTAAAGAAGCCAACGTGTGGCACGGTAGGGCCACGAGCGCTACGTCAGCGTTCAGCTGTGACTCGCTTCTTTTATCAGCGAGGATATATCGCGGATTGAACGCCAGTTTCTTCCGAACGCTGCACCCGGCACTTGTGGGAAACCTGTGCTCCGTTTGGGCTTCTTTAGGTGACTTGGAACGTTTAGCGCTACGGCCTTGTATATAGGAGCTGCTGGTGTGTAGGCGCAAAGCGACCCAAACGGCATCACTACAGTGGATCCACGCAGGATCACCTAGCTGTCGTCAGCGACAGTGTCATGGCGTCTCGTAGCGTCTCACGAAAAGCGCGACGCTAATGCGCCGCGGAGCTAAGACGGACAATGCAGTCGCTTTTCAGCGTCTCTCCCCGAGCTTCGGTGTGTTGGCCGCTTGGGGCGGGTCAGGGATCTACTGGCCATGACGGTATTTTTGCTTGGACGCCCGAAGTCTCTTCCGGATGGTATTGTGTGCAGTACCTGAAACCCCTATCGAAAAGAACCATCACAAAAAGTCTGGGGGACCATCACGCTGATGGTATGTCGAATTTCGGGACATGGATCGTTCGACGGTTTGATGGTGTGATGGTTCGATGGCTTGATGTTGTGATTGTTTGGTGGTTTTATCGTCTGTCGTAGTTTTATACACTGATGCTCTGTAGGTCTGTCACATTTTGTGACATATGGCGGCCTATTGGCTTGATGGTCAGTTGGTCTATTGGTCGGTATGAATTTTTAATCACAAACATGGTAGCGGCAGATGAAAAGATTGCATTTCAAACAAGTGAACGTTATGTTGTAACCAATATTATTTCAGAAAGGAACATTCGAAGCGTTAGGAAACCCTATTTTTTGACACCGGTCTAAGTTGGACAATTCGAATTAAGCTACAAACAAATGCCTTTAATGTTCCATCAGCCGTCAAATGAAAATGTTTGATGGTCTATCAGGGCACCGTCAAGTAAGCCTGACGGCCCATCAGAGAAGCGCGATGGGCCATCAAGAATGCCTGTTGGGTCATCAAGAAGGTTTTGAGACCATAAAAAGGTGTGATGGTCCGTCAAGAAGTTGTGACGGGCTGTCATGATGGTATGATGAACCATCAAGAAGGTCGGATGAGCCATCAAAAAAATTTGATGATCTAACAAACATTTCTGATAGTGTTCTTGATCGGGACGCGTCTCTGACGGTTGCGTTAAGCGTCCTATTTCGCCCATCCGTCGAAACCGTCCTCGAAGTTGCAACAAACGCCGTTACAAAATGCCTGGGTGACAAGCTGTCGAAATTCGCAACCCTAGCGGCTGACCGTAAAAGTTCTAAAAAAAAACAAAAAACGAGATAATGCGAGAGTCATGTCGTCGGGACGTCCAAACTCCTGGCTACCGAAATGTGCGTCGAATTTCAAACGGTAGAGCGACCCGCAGCAGAACAGGCGTCTAGCACAACTACCACCGCTGCTGTGGCAGCACCGGGATCGCAGATGGCGACAACGTGATAATGAGCAGAACGTAAGGGCGCAAGTGAGCTGGTGTAACATTTTAGTGAAAACCCCGAGACTTGTCCTTCCTTCCTCCTTCTCTTCCTTGTCGTCGTCTGTTCTACCTCTGGTTTTTCACTAAAATGTACAACGTGATAGTTATTTTACATCATCAGGCGGAAACTGAGGGACCCCAATTTCGGACGCGGTGAACATAGCAGTGGGAGAAGCGTGCCAGGCACCATAGCGCCGGGCGGTGCTAGTGGTTCCTCGTGTCAAAGTTCGTTTCTCCCGTTCGGTTTGCATCGCGTCACTCAGCTCAACATCCGATAGCTGTTTTCATATTGCTTAATAAAATATCTGGAGACTGTTTCTCAACTCGATAAAAATAAATAAACTTAGATCTTGCACGTCTTTAGTGCTTTGACATGCAGAGTGTTTTTGTGCGTATTTAATGTTTGATCGAGGTCATACTGACTGAATGAGTGGTAAAAACCGTAGGCTTTACCAACGCTCTGTCAAGTTTTTGCTTATTAGCTGAATATATTTTTTATAATAATAATAATAATTTTATTGCAAATGAACATAACGTATGTTAAGTCTGACCTGCCTAAGCCACATTGGGCTTGACTGGCAGCGTCTTAAAATCAGTGAAACCATGCCGTTTGCAAAAGAAAACATATCAAATAAAATCCACACAAAAAATCAGAATAACAAAAGCAAACTAGCGAGCACTTTACGATCTAGAATTTCTCAGGGCTTTCTTGAGCTTGTATTTTGTTCTTAAATTTAGAATACTAGAAGGTAGTTTGTTCATAAATGCTGGTACATAGTAACTCCGAGCTCTTTTTCCAAATCTTGTCGAACATCGAGGTATCCGGTAACGCTCTTTGGGTCTAAGAATACGAGAAGGTACATATGGAACTTTAAATTGACTAACCCAAAAATGAGTAGCCGTAGAATTACATAGCAATTCTACGGCTACTCGAGTAGGATTCTTCTTTAATGCTTATTAGTTTTAATTCTAAAACAACATTCACTGGATCGAGTTTTTAATGATGTTTTTGTTGTCTTATGTTGTCATCGCTAGCTGAATAAATCAGAGACTTCCGATGCCAGGTATATGCCCGAAGTATTCATGTCACTCCAATACGAATTGCTGACATAAATTACAAAACAATTAATCTAGAACAGGTTATAAAAACACATATGCATTTGTTTTCTCGTAGTGCCCAATAAATGTCAATAAATAGAATACATTGAGAGCTTGCCAAATGGAAAGCACTCGAAGTATTTTCAGAAAAATAAATAAGACTTCCCACGTCACGAAGAGCACAACGTTTCACTTACTCGTGTCATGAAGCATGTCACGTTGCAAGTGGTGTTGTTAGGACAGAACGTGTCTTTGCCGGGTTGTTGGTCGTGTACTGTGCTATGAATCGCAGAGATTGGCCTTACGAGTGGATTAAGCGCATTGTTTCTTCCGCGAAGCCGTGCTTCATCTCTGGTGCACCTACAGGAACGGTCCGCAACAACATTGCTCGATCGAGACTCCCTCAAAGAACCGGAACCAAGGCTTTCGAACATCTGCCATAGTTACCAACGTCAATGGGTCTTTGTCTTTCTCGTCTTTTAGCATCAAGAGAAGCTGCTTCTGCGAAGCCATAAACCTCCAGGGCAATGACCGGGGCTGTTGAACATAACTTTTATCGATGACAAGAGCCACCTTTAATCACACCAGG